ACGGCTGGTCCACGTGGAACGGTGGAGGTGGTGGAACGCCCCAACGGAGTGCGCTCTACCCTCTTTTCCAACCGTAAATGACGTCGACACCAGGGTGGGCTGCTGCTGGACGCGCTGTCTGCTGCGTCTGCACGGCAGACACCTGCCAGCCCCAGAAGTGGAACGTACGGATTGCCGTTCCAGAGAACGTCTCCTATGAATGTTGCGACGCTCCAGGGACGAACAGGAGCGTTAGGACAAGAAGGGAACGTGAGTGCTCAGGGAGGAAGGTACGCACCTAACGCAGTACCTCCGCAAGGGCAAGTGACGAGTCCGTACTACGACCAAGGAGTCCGCAATGGCTCGCACGGGTCCGGGAGAGGCGCTCAGCGGGACGTTCCGATTGTTGGTATTCCGACGGAATTGCGGAGCGCTGTGAAAGTTATAGTTCCATTCTACTCAGAGACGGCCACGTACGAAAGGGCGGCCGCGTTCTGGCGTTCCTTCGAGAAGTGTACGCTCGGTATGGACGACCAAATGCGGTTGGCAGCCTTCGAGCAGTGTCTGAAGGGCAAGTTGGGTCAGGAATGGTGGTACAATGCGAGGATCAACGATTTTGAAACTCTACGCGTGAGATTCCACAACCGCTTCATCTTTCAGGCGCCAGCTCAGTTGTGGAGCCGACTCAAGGCCGCTAAGAGGAACTACGGCGAATCTGCGGAAGAGTGGGGCGACAGGATCATCACGATGTGCGAGTACCTAAACTATCACGAGCCTCGTATGCAGTACGAATTCTTCCTCGATGGGTTAAGGAACAAGCAGATGCGTGCCGTTTTGAACGCGAACCTAGCTGCGTCGATCCAGGAAGCGTGCGCTTTATTGCTGTACAAGAAGCTGCACCCCCCCTGTGGACGAAGAGGACGAGTTTGCGAATAGTGGAACGACGGTGAGGAACGTGAACGCAGTGACGTCCACGCAGTCGCAGATGCTCCAGCAGCTTCAACAAGTTAACCAGTTGATGCTGAAGCAGCAGCAGAATCCTGGAACGTCACAAGGGTTCGTTGGCGCCGTGGCTCCTACGAACGTCCCAAGTACTGGCGTTCCAACTCCGAATGGGAAGGTGGCTGGCGCACCGCTCGGACCCCTTCGCATCCAACTAGGGCCTGACACGCGTACCACGGAAGGAGAAGTGGTTTGCGGACGCTGTGGTCGTGTTGGAGGTGGACGTGAGACGTGTCCCCGTGGACAAGGCCGTTGCAATAGGTGTAACGAACTTGGACACTACTCGATGGAGTGCAACTGGCCAAGACCCCAAGGGAATTACCGACACGGAGAACGACGCCAAGCGGAATGTCTGCTATGTGGTAAGGCAGGTCACTTGGTGGCGAGATGCCCGAGCCTCGATACTTTGCGAGGAATGATGCAGAGCGTGGCCGCCGGGAACGTGACTGCAGCCGCTGGTACGTCCCAACAATGAAGGAGGCAGGAGGAAGGGAAAGGAAGTGTCGCTCCTTCCTCTTGCCTGGTTGGCGACACAAAGAGAGCTGAGGGTTCACCGCGACAGGACGTGGCGGTTGGACATCAGAGGGCTCTCGGGAGAGGTGTGATGAACGATGAAGGCGCTCGTGACGTTCCTGTCATGAGTGCAAAGACGGAAATTGTGGATACTACAAGTGCAACGAGCAGAGAGAGCGGTCTGACTGAACGGACTGGGCTAGAACGAGACAAAAAGATTGATGGCTCTTCGGAGAGGCCCACACGAGACGGAGTGGTCGCTGAGGTAACAACGGAACGTTCCTCTGCGACGCTGAACTGGGAAAACGAAAAGAGGGCACGTTCTGAGTTGGTACAGGACGTCAGTAAGGGAGCAACGGAACGCCCCGAGACTGCGTCAGACGCCAAGAACGAGTGTCTAGCGACGAAGGGCTCTATTGAGAGGCCCGTACGGGAGAGAGTGGTCGCTGAGGAAACAACGGAACGTTCCTCGGCGAAGCTAAACTGGTAGAACGGAGCAACGGAACGTTCCAAGTTGGTGGAAGACGTCAGTAAGGGAGCAACGGAACGCCCCGAGACTACGTTGGACGCCGAAGAGAAGTGCCAAGAGAGTGAGTAGGTGGAGACGCTGTCCACCCGCTCAAAGCAGTACGAAGGAGCACTCGAAACGATCACGGAGGACGCATCTGGCGCCAGGTCAAGTCAGTTCTCGGCAGTTATTGGACAAGTGAGTACAGGTCAAGAAAGGACAGAGGCTCAGAAGGCCGAGGAGGACGGAGAACGTACTAAGGGGAAGGATTCGACGCAGCACTACGAACGCCTGTTTACCGACGAGGAGCTGGATATGCTCGAGCACGGCGGCAGTCAGGTAGTGAAGAATGAACCCGAGGAGTACGAGAAGGAACTGGAAGAACAATTGTTCCCGATGAACGAAGACGAGGTGCTGTTACGTGCCAAGCGGAACGCGGATGAACAAGGGAAGCCGACACTCGCGGAAATGAGTGCCGAGCTTGGGATACCGGAAGACGTGTTGGAACGTACCCGGGAGGTCTCATCTGGAGATCTCGGAACGCCAGAGTATTGGCTGGACTGGCAC